TGATTCGCTCATGATTATGTAATTGTGCTAACACATCACGTTTAATTATTTTACAAAACTTTCTATCAGTCTGCACGAATCATCATTACTGTAAATATTATAATTAGATTTGGAGATAAGAAATTACGTTAATTTATGTTAAATGCACTAATTACGATCCGAGCAAGCTTTGGTGTTTTCGCAAAACAAAACAGAACAATTCAAATTCATTTTCACTATGCGTGTATAAAAAATAAACTAAGACATTAAACTTTACAACCAATCACCTTTATTTAAACTAAGACTAGATTTACACTAGTTAATTATATAATAACTACATTAATTCTGAATACATTGTTTAGGGTAAATATATGAAATTAATAATATCTCAAATGTTTTTAGTAAGTTATGTGTCTTTCAACATTGGTAAACATGACGTTTGTGATGTCACTCTGAATCTGCATTTACACCAGGCAATCTGAAAAATTTGCCTGGCCATGGTGGGAATTGAACCCGCGACCAACACACACAAAAATTATCATCTTAGAATACGTTGATACCGAAGAAATTAGTCTCCGTTCCGAAATATCACCAACTCGAACCGACTTGATCTCGTGTAGCTTGCAGTGGACTATAGTATAGTATCTCAAAGGTCGCTGCATGGCTCGAATCCCACCGTGCTTAGGCAAACTTTTCAGCTTTCCCGGTGCAGATGCACACTCAGAGTAACAACACAAACATCATATTCACCTGAGTACATAACAACAATAAATCATGTTCTGTAATTCGACAGCCGAGTGATAATCACGAGTTATTCGCATTTCATTGAGGGTATATTAGAAATAAATAAATTTGCCTTTATTACAATAATCAAAACAAGGAAGTGGGGAAAATACTTCATCAAAACTGTCGAAGCAATGACTGAAAAGTGCATTGCGATTAACCTTGTATATTCAAGCTAAAGCCTAGATTGAAACGAGAAACAAGTTATTGTTTGATAAAAACATACTGGTTAGAAAATGCATATTTAGCTGTGTTTAGAAACTGAACGCGCTAATGTTTTTGTCAGGGCACTTCTGTATTCGAGGGTTTCATGTGACGTCACATGCGGGCCAAGGGTTTGTGTCAAGGGCAATTGGGTAAAGGATATAGCTTTTATATTCTTTATTTTGTTTTACACTGGCTTTTACAATGGTCGTAAAGCTCGTTTACATAAGATACGGTGGCAGCCATTCTGTTGCTTAACGCTTTGTTCTTTTTGCTGACATCAGTTCAAACTTCGACCCCAAATTATGCTAAAATATCAGGTTTTTAGAACACAAGAAATCAGTGTTTCTTTAGCAAATTAGTCATTCGCTCTTTTTTATGCCTCCAAATTTAAATCTTTCGATGACTTGCATGTCGTTTCGTCAAGACTTTGGACAAGATTTGATGTTCGTGACCTAAGCTAAATTTAAGATTGGTTAAAAAATAACAATGTTCGGCGAATATATCGAGAGAGTTCTACACAAGATACAATACCTCTAGTTCGAATGGAATGAACTGGTAGGTACCTCCCAAGATGGTCAGGAGGTCAACGACGCCAGATGGGGGTTGGTAGGAGTCACCAAAACCTGTGTATGTTTTGATCGAACCATATGCGTTGAACATCGCGAAGTCTCCATTAATTCCAAACGATGGTCCATGATTAACATAGGCCCTCAGTGCGCCCGAAGAATTTTCATTCTTCAATGGAGCTTTAAATGGCGGGAGATTTTCTTTATTTCTCAACGAAAAGATGAAGGACCCCGGAGCTTGTTTGTCAGCTCGATTACCTGTTATAATGTAAATATCTTGTAAGTTTTAATATATTTAATCGTGTTTAAAAACTGAGTATCGTTATTGTAATGATGTTACCTAGTATGAACCGAAAAATATGGTTATATATAGTACTGTTTTCCTGTTGTGGTATTTTTAGTCGCTTGTCCAGGCCGGCAAAATTACACTATACCTTACAAGGAGTTTAAAATAATTAATTCCAAACGTGTTATTCTATCACCGTTTTTGATAACTGAACTACGCGTAATTTACAGTGTAAAAGTGCACTGTGGCAGGCCACGCATCATGGACGTCGGTCTGCTGCGCGTTTACTTTAGTTAATAACCTACCGTAAACTTCCGAATATAAATCCTGGGCTTATATTTGTTCGTAAGCATTGTTTGATGGACTTATACACTGGTCATGGCTTATGCACGGGTGGGCTTATGTACGGACGACATTTGGTGTTAGTATAATACTGTATTTATTGTAACTGTAAACTACACCGTATACGAAAGGAAATATGAACATACAGTACATATGTATACTAGAAATACATGCATGCAGCAACCCGTCGCCTACTTCCAATATTCTCCAAACATTAAATTAACATGAAGTGTTTGGAAATGGCTAACACTGAACGCAGGTTTGCGTTCGAGTGCTGCATGAGCCCATGACAAAACGATATTTTAAAATTTTGAATCTTTTATATCTTTTTGTACAAAACGGCAAAACAGTTGAAAGATTAATATATGCTTTTAACTATACAACAATGAATTTCCGAAATAGTGTAGGTATTTCGCATTTTGTGAGATTTTATTTAATGTAAATTTTAACTTGAAACGCTTCGTAAAATATTTTGAAATGCTCATTGAACTAAAACTACATTTGCCGATAAACTGATTTTACTTAATTAAATGAAACAAAATAAGTTCAAATGGTTAGATAGTTTCAGTTCGGCCTTCAAATAAATTATCTCTCCTTTACATTTAATTATTTTCATAAATTAAACAGCATGCAATTTAAGAAACTTACAGCTTCGTTGGAAAGGAAAACGGCTAATGTTTTTGGGCAAATAGAAATAGTTCAAGCAACAAAATTCATAAACATTAAACATTTAAACTTCAAAGCAAACTTGCCGTATCTTTCACACGATTTCCCACTGTAAATAAATTCTTCTCATTTCTTCAAACAAATTGCTTCAAAGCTCGTTTTTGAAAATTGAAATCTTGCTTACCCACTCCTGTCATATTTTTGAGGTCAGTAAGAAGATTCACCCATACACCATGACCCATTTTACACGTAGCTATAATGCTTTCTTTTCCCCGGGTGTAACTAGCCGGGCGGAACTAGTACCCTGGCCATGGGCTAACGACCGGGCATAATAAAAATAGAAATACAAGCATACAGTAACCTCCCACCTATATTTTCCAATCATTGAATTAGCAAGAAGTATTCGAAAATGGCCGACCCTGAATGCAGGCTCGCGTATACTATACTAACTTCCCCCCAAATGGAGCAATTTTGTAAGGCTATATGTTTATGCATGTGGATGCGAAGCCGGATTTTGGGAAAAAATACTGGTCCCCAATCGCTGCTAATTTTGTTATTCTTGTTCTTGAAGGACGTCGCTTTTCGAAGAAAGCCTTAGGCTCCTTCATCTTGAGTCTAATTATCCTGGAATTTGACACAATGATTTTAAACGATATTCCTCATCGACTGACGGTGTCGGATTTTTTATGTTTGATTTAGTGGCAACGTACAGGGAATTCTTCTCTGCACGCGTAGAATAATAATATGCATGTCATTAATATTCAATTTACTAACAAACCATAACAAAGACAGTTTAATTTTTCAAAAAAAATGATATGCGGATGTTTAATGCTAAAATTGTGGAGATTACGCTTTAGCATTGCCAAATACTACGCGAGTAAATTTAGTGGCGTATGTTAACAGGTGGGAAATTTGCTATCGCTGGTCAGTAAATTGCGGGCGCTAGCGAAAATTTTGTTTTAAATTATTAAAATGAGCAAATATAAGTTTTTAGGCTTCTTTGGGAACGAACCGTGGATGCGCAAAGAATTTAAGTTCGTTTATTCAAAGGCTATTGAGAAATGTCCTGGATAAGTGACTTTAAACTGAAATCGGACAATTATAAAGTATTTATTTATACGACAAAATATGGACGAAATTGATCTCTTTCTGAAGATGCATGTATGTTGTTTTCACTCCCTGGACAGATGAAATTAAAAACTAAACTCCCGGTGGTCTTAAAATTTGTTTCTAACGCATTTTTCCACTCAGAAATACCTTTAGAAAGTTTATTTATGATTAAATCCTTGAAAATATTTTACAAAAAATAGGGAAAAAAGCTAAATTTTCAAATTAAGGCTGTAAAAGCTCTGGTCGAGAGAAATCTTTAAATGATTCTTCAAAGATTTGTTAATTCACTAATCAAAGTATTTTTGATATGAAAATATGGGTTGATATAAGAAACGACACAACCGTCTAATATAGTCTGCATGTAATAGTCTGAATAGGTGCCTCTGAATATTCCCTTAGAAATTGCATGCGTTTGCTAATCTTGATTGTAAAAGCATATCCGTTGAAAGACTAGAGTTTACTGATTCAGAAAATATGAGCAGTTTTGATATCATGCGAATGCGTTTCCCTCTCTCGCTAATTTGATATAGGGTGATTTATGGGGTGAAGACTAGCACAATGAAATAAAAAAGTTGAAATATTTTAAAATTTTGCCGAGAGCCTCAAATTAAACTGCTCTTTAAAACATATACTTCATATTGGGAGATTATTCATTCATCTCAAAATACGGAATAGTAGGAATTATTGGACATTTCCATCGAAATCGGAGGCAGTTCCGACATATATGTTTAAGAAAATGTTGCAATTTTATACATATCTTAACCTCTGAATGCTCTCATTTTTTGGTTAGCAGAAAAAGCGAGACTAAAAACGCCAATAAAACGTTCAAAAATAAAATTACTTTATTTACTCGCCCCAAGGCTTTTTCTCTTAGACCGCGCAAATTGTAGCGCATGCGCATATATATGTTGGGAAATTGATAATTTTCTAATTAAAAGTGATATTTTTAGGCGATTTTTCATTTGTAAGAATATTTTTAAAAAATTATCGTGTTACCATGTGAGATAATAACGATATTAGTTATATGAAGTAGCTGGCAATTGTTTATGATCCCGCAATAGTTATGTTTATATAAGGCGGTGATTCACCAAGGTTTTAAGTTGAATAAAGCCTGATTTTACTTTGTTTTACAATTATGGTTTCGACAATTTATTCAACTTAATATAAGTGTCTTCAATATGGATACTGTACTGAAACCTGCTCGTCTTGATTTGGATCCTAATTCACCATCTGCAGCTAAAGAATGGAAACATTGTCATAAGACCTTTACTAACTTTCTCACAGAGTGTGATTCAAGAGCTCCACATAAGTATCGTATTCTTATTAACTACGTATCACATAACGTGTATGAATATATTGAAGACTGTACTGATTATGATTCAGCGCTCAAAGTATTAAATCAGCTATTTATTAGAAAGCCGAATGAAATATTTGCTCGACATTTACTCGCTACTAGACGGCAAAAGCCAGGCGAAACACTCGTAGAATTTATTCAGGAACTTCGGAGACTAAGAAAGGATTGTAATCTAAAAAGTGTTACGGCTGAACAGTATCGGGAGGAACTAATTCGAGACTCATTTATTAATGGTCTACTTTCCCCATTAATTCGTCAACGTCTTCTAGAGAACAGTACATTAGATTTGAAATCTGCTTTTGACCAAGCTAATGCTTTAGATTTAGCACAGAAGAACGCGGAAACGTATACTATGCCCACTGTTCCCACACCTACAGTGGCAGCTGTTTCAGTAACAGAACAGACCTCGAAAGCTGCTGCCTCCAATGACGATGCCCCTCTTGCCGGAACATTTACATCAAAGAAATGTTATTTCTGTGGTAATTCTATTCATAATAGAAGAAATTGCCCTGCCCGAAATTGTGTGTGTGACAGCTGTGGCAAGAGGGGGCATTATGCAAAAGTTTACAGGTCAAAGGCCCCTACGGTTGCTTCAATATTTTCGCCTTCACTTTGTGCAATCGTGACTTCCTGTCCAGAGTCTTTGAAGCAAGCATCTGTAATGGTTTCTATTGGAAACAAACCGTTGACTGCACTTGTTGATTCTGGAAGTTCTGACAGCTATATAAGTGAGAGCATGGCTAAACACCTTGATCTTCATTTTCATCCGTCAACACAAGATGTATCTATGGCCCTGAGTTCCCTCAAGTCACATGTTGTTGGTCACTGCTATGTAGAAATTGCTCTGAATGAACGTATGTTTCCATCCTGTCGTCTGGGAATACTTAAAGATCTTTGTAGCGATATAATCCTAGGTCAGGACTTCCAAAAAGAGCACAAGAGTATTATTATCGAATATGGTGGTTCTAAACCAGAGCTGATGATTCCAAAGTCTACCCCTGTTTGTGCTTTCTCTGCTGCATCAGTTGAAGAGCCGTCTCTTTTTGCGAATCTTCGTCCAGATTGCAAACCGATAGCAAGTAAATCGAGACGCCTTAGTAAGGAAGACCACGATTTTATACTACAGGAGGTTAATCAGCTTCTCTCGGAATTGATCATTGAACCCAGCAATTCACCATGGAGAGCACAGGATGTTGTTAAAGATCCGTTGAATAGACATAAGAACCCAGCGGGCAAAATGACGTTTATCGAACGTTGAATCAACGTTGGAAATGACCTTCTAGACGTTGGATGGACGTTGAAACAACTGTTTCGACGTTGAAACAACGTTGAAATTAGGTTGCCAATCTCGTCAACCATAATTCAATGTTGAATCCACGTTAAAACAACGTTGAGATTGGTTCGTAAATCGACGTCGTACATTTAACCATGAATGAACGTTAATTCAACGTATGTTGGCTGCTGTTGCACCAATGTTTGTAAAACAACGTCAGAGCAAAGTAGATATTAGGTTGTCGACGTCGCAACCTTTTTTCTACCAAATTTCAACGTTGAAACAACGCCGTGTGCCCGGTGGGAAGCGGCTCTGCATAGACTACTCGCAGACCGTTAATCAGTATACCGAGCTTGATGCCTATTCTCTACCACGGATTGATGATATGATTAACAATCTTGCTAGCTACAAATTTTTCTCAACTTTTGATCTTAAATGTGCCTATCATCAAGTGCCAATAAAGGAAGCTGATCAGAAATATACTGCCCTTCGAAGCCAATGGAAGACTCTATCACTTCCAACGTGTGCCTTTTGGGGTTACAAATGGGGTAGCAGTTTTTCAAAGGGCAATGGATAAGTTTGTCGATGAGGAGGGACTCAAAGATACCTTTCCATATTTGGAAAATATAACAGTAGCGGGGCGAGAGCAAGAAGAGCATGATGAAAATGTCCAGAAGTTTCACGAAGCTGTCCGTCGAAGGAATCTTACCCTCAATGAAACGAAATCTGTTGAATCGAAGTCGTCAATCAATTTACTTGGATGTGGTATTGAACATGGTGTAATTACTCCGATCGAGAAAGGCTATGCCTCCTGGAAGAGTTTCCACCAGAAGAGAATGCCCGAACCCTACAGAAAGTAGTTGGTATGTTCGCCTATTATCCAAAATGGATACCCCATTTTTATGACAAGATCAAACCTTTGATGAAGGATGTAACATTCACACTGGATTCGGACGCTCTAGCTGCATTCAATACTCCCAAGAAAGAACTTGGGAACGCAGCTCTTCAACACGTCGATGAGAGCCTTCCGTTTGTGGTGGAATGCGATGCCTCGGAAGTGGCGCTCTCTGCTACGTCAAATCAGGCTGGACGACCAGTTGCATTCATGACGAGGATACTCCATGGCAGTGAATTACACTATCCTGCAGTAGAGAAGGAGGCAATGGCTATCGTAAAGGCGGTTCGCAAGTGGCAGCATTTTCTTGCTCGTCGTCATTTTACTCTGAAAACGGATCAGCGTTCGGTAGCGTTCATGTTCGATAGCAGAAAACGAACCAAGATCAAGAACAATAAGATCCAGGCTTGGCGACTCGAGCTTGGTTCCTTCAGCTATACAGTGGATATCGGTCTGGAAAGGATAATGTTGCTCCTGATTCATTCACACGCGCATTCTCTACCTCGATGTCATCAAACAACCTCGAAGAAATCCTTATTGGGTTGTGTCATCCCGGTGTAACTCGAATGTTACATTTGGTAAAGTCCAAGAACCTTCCATACTCCACTGAAGAAGTTAAGAAAGTGTGTTCAGCATGGCGAAGTTGCGCCGAATTGAAGCCTCAGTTTTATCGTCCGCAGCAACCCGGAAACCTCATCGACGCCACACAGCCTATGGAGCGACTTAGTATCGACTTCAAGGGTCCACTACTTACTGCTACTCGTAATGCATATATACTCACTGTTGTGGATGAGTACTCCCGTTTCCCATTTGCCTTTCTTTGTCCAAATATGCAATTCTCAACCGTCATCATGTGTCTGAATCAGTTATTCAGTCTTTGTGGCAAGCCAAACTATATTCACTCAGATCTTGGTACCTCTTTCCTTTCTCGGCAACTAAAGGCCTATCTAACGAAACGAGGAATAGCAACGAGCAGAACTCCGCCGTGCCATCCAAGTTGAACGATACAATGATATCATCTGGAAGGCGGTTCGTCTTGCTCTAAGGTCAGCTAATCTACCGGATTCAAGATGGGAACTCGTACTCGCTGATGCACTTCACTCGACTAGATCACTTCTCTGTACGTCAACTAATGCAACTCCACATGAAATTTTTTTCAACTTTCATCGTCGTTCATCATATGGTGTGTCCCTGCCATCATGGATGCAACCTGGTCCCGTATTGCTACGTCGATTCGTTCGAACGAGTAAGAACGATCCACTTGTGGATGAAGTGGAGTTAACGGATGTTAACCCAACCTGCGCACGTGTACGTTACGCCGATGGGAGAGAATCGTCTGTTTCTCTACGTGATCTGGCTCCCAGCCCGCCTTCTTCCATCTAGAATGGAACCCCCCTTGAACCTCAACCTTCGCAAGAACCCTTACCTGCATCTGATGGATTTCCTCCAGCGCCAAACTCTACGACCCTGCAAGTTCCTGAGATTCCGTCAGCAGCGGATAATGCTGAACACGAGTTGTTAACAAAGGAAACTGGTCTAAGGCGTTCTACTCGTGTAAGCAAACCACCAGCTCGTTACGGTTGGTAAGGTTATGAACTAGTAACTCTATGAATTGAACTATAAAATTTGAACCTTATTGTTAGTTATAGTATTATATATGACACTTATAATAATGTAAATTACTTGGGAACTTTCTATTGTTTTAGAACTTTTAGGGAGGAAGAATGAGGTAATAACGATATTAGTTATATGAAGTAGCTGGCAATTGTTTATGAGCCCGCAATAGTTATGTTTATATAAGGCGGTGTTTGACCACCGTTTTGTAAGATTTGTACTTTAGAGTTTATAGCAAGGTTTTAAGTTGAATAAAGCCAGATTTTACTTTGCTTTACAATTATGGTTTCGACACCATGACGACTACTTTAGATCCTTCATGTTCGGAAAATACAATGGTTTTGTCAGCAAGGCGAGGGTTCTGCATGCATGTATTTTCTAGTCATATAATAAGGGCATTGTGTAGTTTGTGCCCTGTTGCATGTATAGAACACTGCATTATATGCAATTTCGACATGTGCATGGTTATACTCTTCTAGTTTTAATTATATTTGCTATCAAACCAGAGGCGTAGCCAGGATTTTTGGTCAAGGGGGCAGCAGTTACATCCTTTTCGTAGCACTTTTCCCGATTTTCGTATCACTTTTTCCGATGCTTCACCACCGCGAAGATTCCGACAATATTGACAATTTTCCGACGGGTCTCAACATGAAGCTATACAGGGTGTTTAAAAAAAAACGCTATGAAAATTCAACAGGCTCTTGTGCATCACAAACTTAACTAAACAATTCAATTTTTACATAGGACGAAAGAGCTGTTATTTAGTTTTTCTAAGATATATTTCTTAAACAGTAACGATGCGGAAAAATGGCCACATACGGGTCAAATAAAAATTTTCGGTCGAAATCACATTCTTCCACCGTTGGGAATTAAAAACATTAATTACGCAAAGTTAATCAATCCAAAAGCACCGCGAGTCTGCTGCAAAACTACTTGTTTCGTAAAACGTTTTGATAACGAATGTTCTCTGTTCAGGGGTTAATTGAACCATGTTTAATGCAATAATAGACGTTCTTATGGTCTCACTAAGATGAAGAGTGAGGAGTTTATTTTAGATAATTTAACATTCAATTTTAATTCCCTTTTGGGAATTGTTTACGTTTCGTTTTCCATGCAATTCCCAACGGTGGAAGAATATGATTTCGACCGGCGATTTTTATTTGACGAGTATGTGGCCATTTCTCATCGACTTAAAAAGAGTATCATTGGAAAGCTAAATAACTGTTCTTTCGTTCTATGTAAAAATTGAATTGTCTAGCTACGTTTATGATGCACGACAGCCTGTTGAATTTCAAAAGCGTTTTCTCTAGACACCCTGTCACCCTGTATAATCAAGGACTCCCTTTTTTATACAATACATTTTATCAGGGGGAGCAAAATTTTGCCAGAGGTGGGCCGGGCCCCTGGACCCCAGCCCTGGCTACGCCTCTGTATCAAACGAAAAACGTACGTGAGGTCATGAGTGAGATTTGCAAGTTTTGCAAATGGAATAAAATAAAAACATATCCAAGCTGAATAAAGAAGTGTTGACAAGATACAAAACAAGACAATTTCATATACATGAGAGACAAGGTAATTTATAGCTTATTAATACATTGTGCGTTTCTGTGGCTGTGGTTCATTGGAAATGAAATATCATATTTTGCAATTTTAACTCACCATAATTAATACCATTAAAGTTCAAGACATTTGTAATTTTGTTATATGAATGTTGGCACATTCTGTATCGTACACTCTTCAAAATTTTAAATAGAGTATACCTTTTGACTGTTTGCAATATTTATATGTGATATGGACATGTAGAAGAGCCATGTAGGTATGGCCCCACGAGATGCACTGCACGAAGGTTTCTAAATAGACTATATGGATGATAAGTTCATGAATAATGAGCATATACCGATTGATCATGTCAATGTGCCTACTGTCTGTATGCATTCCCCTCAATGTCATGATACCTTACTTACGTATAATTTCATAAATAAGTTACATACATGTTCCAATAAGTATATTTTGCTTCAACAATGCATATGTATGTGTAGCCTGCGCGGCAGGCTCTCTGGGGAATTCAGAGGATTGTTGCAAGCTCGGCTTTGAGTATGGGTATTGATTTTCCTAACATTAGATATGTGATAAATTGGGGTCCTGCTCGTTCTTTAATTGAGCTGCATTGGTGCACAATCCCACATAGTAATATGTTACCATGGAAATCAGTTTAGCAAATGTGATGAAGAAGCCAAAAACTTTGTTACAACAGAAGGCTGTTTTCGAGTTGCAGAATACAAGCCATTTGATAAAACTATTGCACCCTTTGCTGTTCATCACAATTGTTGTTCAAATTATGCAAGAAACTGTTCCTGTCAACATAATGGGGGCAACATAAAACTTCCTTTTGAAGATGAAGTGATTGGGTCAAAAGATCAGGTATTTATGACCAGAGTAGTTACACAAGAAGACCGAAAAGATGTTGAAAATGCATTTCTTGAGGTATTCAAAGAGCTATCATCAAGTTCAAACAGCTTTGATTTATGTCATGGTTTTTATGGTAAGCTGGTAAATAGCATACGTTGAAAATTGTCATAAGCTGTTCACCATTGATAACATTAACACTTATTTGTCAGTTTTATCTCTCAGTCACACTTTAAAAATTTTACAAGCTTTGCATGAAATTTGTGGTGACAATTCAGCAATAGATACTATTTTAGAAATGATGCAAGACGTTCACTCATTTTTTCAGGTTGAGGAGTCAATCCTTGATATGTCTGAACAGTACAACTAAGATTTTGATGAATAAGACTCAAGTAATAGCTTAGATACTGATGAATGTTAAATGCCTGGTTCAGATTACTGTTTGTAATATAATATAGATTATATAAAATAGATTATTGACAGATTATTTTTCATAAATTGCCTCCCATTGCTCTAGATGACCTTTCATCTATGAATGCAAATCTCTGAAATCTAATGACTGTAGGAGATGTGCTGGAAATTGAGGAAATGATGGATATCTATTCCTTCTTGGAGTGTAATTGAGTGTTCGTTTCTCCATGAGATCGTTCACAATTTTCTTTACAGTGTCTTCCGTTTTGCCTTTTAAACGGTACCCTATTCGGCCATCACGAACACAGTCTTTGTCTATTGATTCTATAATGCATTCTAGACTTTCAATGGCATTTGCCACCTTGGCAGCACTGTCTTCATTTAGGTTGGCATCTAAGCCTCTCAACATTGTTTTTAATAACTTATTCAACTGTTCTATCTTCAGACCTAATGAAATGTTACATCCTTTTCAACCTGATCTGCTATAAATCTCTTAAATTCAAGTGATGCAGCCTGCATCTCTGATGTGGCTGGTAGGACCTTTACCGGATACAAAAATATTACATAAGCATATTTATGACGACCCTAACATTTGTGAAATAGTAAGGCAAATATTTATAAACATTTATAGTCTATCACCATCAACTTCCTTGACAGCATCTTCAAATGTTAATTTGCCCCTGTGATAGTTGAAGATATAATCCTCTGTGTCCTCCTTCATGTCTTGCACAGGCACTTGGCCTTGATCATGTGCCAACAATGTTGGGTGCTTTGATATTTCATGCCTGATAAAACCAGTATCAAAAATATGGTGGTACATACACGCTCATATGTAGTGTTCAAAATTTTGTATTTAAAAGTTGATTAATAAAATATGTAACTACCTATTTCGTGTTGTTCTAGTGCTACAGTATATACCAATCCGCATCGTGCTCTACAATAATGGTAGCCAAATGAATCTTGCTCAGCTGTGCAACTTAGCTCTACTTTCAAATTGTGATGATCAATTTCATGTCTGCAAAAAAAAATTATTGGGATTATCTAAATTACTTGTGTGTGGTATAGCAGTACAATAACTGGCTAAATACAGAATAACAACAGAGTAAACATAATTATAAAATTGTGTGACTTATAGACTGGCGTATGGATCATAGACTAATCGCCCCTCGTTCGTTTTTCGCACTGATGAGAAGGTAAATACTAAGTTTGTTAAAAACCAACCAAAGGATGATGCATGGCTAGTGATTTTTTAATTTCAGAGTGTTGGAGCACATTCTTACTTGACTCTTGTAGAGTGGTAGGCACTTTTATATTGACATCCTTCAAAACGACAGAGAAAAGGACCATGAGATTTTGCATTTAGTTCACCAACTTTTTAACCAATCCACTAATTTCTTCTCCTCCAGTATATTGGTCAATGTATTTTTGGCACAATTCCAAAGACCATCTTCCTCTATTTTCCATTCCAACATCTGATGTTGGAATTGTCATGTTTGGTTTATCTGTCAGTTTACATAAAATTCTGTATTACAGTGTGCAATCAAATTATATTCCTTTTTATCACTTTTATAGGTTACAGCATCAAACATTCAAAAATGTAACATACCCTCTATTTGTTTTAAACTTATCATCTCCATGAGCGATGCACATATATGAGCCTCGATTTCTGCCTGGTGAAAGTCCTTGTACTCGTTGTAATGTTTCTCTACACCTTGACCTTGATCTCATTGTTGCTCTACTTGTTCCTATCTGTGCTGCAGATGATTCACTGACAAATATGTCAAACTCAATCTATTAGAAACAAGAAAATTACAATTACATTCATGGGTGTTACCTGGCAGGCAGTATGCCATGCTCTCTGACCACTACAATGACCACTTGGAAGCGTACAAATAGTGGCAATCTATTCTACGTTTTTAATACTAATAATCACAGACGCTTGTATTTTGCTAACACGTGTCATGGATTAAGAAATATAATGTAGTAAAAGTACATTGTTTGCATAGGGCAAAAAAATATATGTGGGTTTCCGGTTTCCCGACCCTACCTAGCTTTTGGACGCCGAAATCCCGACCCTAAACTTTTTATTGGATCATGCTTGTAAGTGTTTCCACTTAGAGGAAAATGTTTGTGGAAAATAGAAATTTGAGGGAAATATATTTTTGGATGTGGAAACATTGACTAAACAAAATGGCGTCCGGTTGTTAGGAAAATTAAAAAAAAGTTTAAAAAAGTTAAAACCGACCTACCCTACCTATGTTTTTACAAGAAAAAATAGGAAACCCACAAATCTTTTGGCCTAGGCGTACGGGACAAGGGAGGGGGGCAGGATCTGCCCCCAATTTGGGAATACTAGGCCAGTCGGGCAATATTTGCTTCACAGTCGGGTAATTTTGGCATAGATCATAAAAAAATATAATATCATAGTATCATAAAAAAATAAATAGGGGACATTCCTTCGATTTTGGGGGAAATATGCGACATAATAGTCGAAAAGTCCCCCCCCCCTCAATATAAAAGTTATAAAAATTATAATAGCCCCCCCCCCGCCGTTAACAACAATTTTGGAAAGTTTGCATGGAATATTTTTTGACAAGTCGAGTACAATGGGAAAAAGTTGGGCAAGTTTTTTTCTGGCCCAATAATGTGTTCCTTCCCATATTTCCTGTGATTGTGTGTCTTCAAACACAAGCACTGTTTGACACCAGCCTATTTTACTGGTAAATGTAGGCCCGGCTCCTGGAGGTTTGGTGTGAAAGAGTTCAAAGTTATCTTCTAAAAAGACATACATTGTACAAATTTACTTTTGCATGCCAGTCAGATCGATCAGATTAGCAGTAGTCGATCAGATTTACTTGTTCCATCCTGAAATGTCCATTGAGCATTTCTACACCGCTCTTCAAATTTACTGATCACCATGCATTGGTACCTCCATGAGAATATCTGGTACATCATTTACCATATTACACGGTGCATACTTTTGTTGGTTGGTCATGATAGGTTGGGCTATTTCTCCTGCGATATTGGGATTATTAAACTGAAGTCCAAGACAACACTATAAAAATAATTAACGTAGACTTGATCACTGACACATAAATGCCACTTTGACTATATAACAATAAGATGAAGCCATGTATCAGAAAATGTGTCTGGAAAGCAAGCTTCTACAACTTTGTATAATATCAGAACGTTTTTAACAGTTATTGTTTTGGTTTAATACTACATAATTACAGGGCATTTCTTAAGAAATTACAAATACTGGGGCTAAGTCTGAAGTCTCTATGAGGGCCTTTTCCCCACACAGCTAACTGTACATAAAGACCTAGTCTGCATGGCAAGTTCAGCAGGCTAATAAAGACCATGCAGTCCTGAATTTTATAAAATGGAATGTCGAGAATGTGAGAAGATATGAGAAAGCAGGCAGTTGCAGCATTTTTCAACAAGGATGATTTTTTACTGATGATAAAAAGGGCACAGCTCATCTGAAAATATTGCTTCACTACTGTGGCAAGCAAAGGACCTACTCATGGGTAGATGCCCCAGTAGTTATATATACTGTAGTTAAAAAAGCCCTGCATAATGAGAAAGAAATAATGAATATAGAATAGTAGCATATAAAGACAAAACAAGTTACTGGATGAAACATGAAATGGGATCCACTAACAAATTGACAAATTCGGATATGTGGGAACTGATATATTCTTCGATTTCAATATCAGGACTTCTGGTCGGACATGTCAGTATCATATGCTCCTGGGAAATATCGAGTTTAACCACTGTTCCTATTGCTATATATATGTAGAAAACCCTTCCATTATTTTATTTTTAAGTAGTGAGATCACTTACAATGTCTGATTTCTGTGACATTTCTTTTGAATATTTATGGGAGATATGTCGCACTACACAGTCTTGGAAGCGCTTGGAACTATCACAATAATATTTGCTGATGAATATTTGCTAACCAAGATTAAACAGTTCCATTTGAAACTTTTCAGTACAGCATTGCTTGGAAGGTCATTTTATAGTTGTATGTCTCTCAGCATCATTAGTGGTTTGGAGTTGTCGAATGAAGAAATATCAATTCAGTTCAACACAGCATACTGTTGGGTCCAATGAATGGACTGGTTTGTGCGGTTAATGGACTGGTATCTAGCTTGAATGTGATAGTCAATATTATCACCAACTAATCTATGGGGGGAAAGTATACAGAATAATTTGTCTTTCATAATCTGCTGATAGAACTGTAGCTACAATACGGTACTATAATGGTGACGGCTCTTATATTCTATATACTTATATAACTAGCACGATCAGCAAACGCTATGCTGCTATTAAGCCAGGGTCTGTACTAATTAAAGTAATTACATTATTTATGAACATAGCTGCTGTAAGGGAGATCCCCCAACATTAGGAGATTATTGCAATTTGTAGGGAGTAGGGGATATTGGAAAGGGAAAACAGGGAAACGTAGGGGATTTATTATATTTTGATTTTTTCGATTTTGTTATGGTTATTTTCGGCATATTTTCAGTTATATTTACCAGGTTTCATACAGAAAAATGCACCTTGCTTAACTCAAAAGCGAATTTATACACATAAGCACTTGATTTGTAACAAATGGACATATTTCATAATTACTGTGTCATATTCTGACTTCGGAAGCATGTGGATCATCGGATTGCAATTTAGGATGCACTATCCAGGTTTTCGGCTGGAATGATCAACCATGAAAAATGTTGGCAAAAAAAAGGAAAATTTACGGAAAATGTTATATTTGTATGGAGTGTGGGGGAAAGATATGTTTGAGGCATAGGGGGAACGTAGGGATTTTTAGCATTCGCTTTAGGTGAAAATAGGATGTTTGGAGTGGCAGCACTTTTTAAATTAATATACTTACTTGTAGAGTGGAAGTATCTGACTTTGCAGCAAATGCATCACACCTTCCAAAACAGTTTTGTTAATGTAACCATGGTTAAATTGGTGCATTGATTTTTTTGCCAGCTGGACACAATACTCATGTGTTGGTTTGCTAAATGATGGATACTCTTGCACAGCTTTCTCACTCAAGTCAAATGTAACTTCATCCAAAATCATGTCATCTTCCTCTCGATGGGTTTGAATAGTTTCCACTTCCTTGATAAAATTCTGAGCATTAAGGACTTCCTCCACATTCTTTTTCCATAATAATACTTTGGTATCTGTTGACATGCCCATCTTTTTTGGAGATTTACCACTCTTTCAGGGAACATGCAGATACCAAGACGGTTAAGCCGGACTCTGTCATAATAACTTGCACCACTTTTAAATAATATTAGCGAGATTCTGTACGCTTAAGCAGATTACATTGCATTCCTAGATGTGGCTAAAGCGGACGTAGCAAGGGCCACAGTATTCAAGGCACGCCCACACGGTTTTCAGGAGATGTACGGTTTTGAGGTGATGTGCCACAGGCTCCATTCATAGTTGCTGACCAATGTGGGCATTTAACATTAACCTCGTCAGGGACGGCGGAACGATAATAGGGCAAAGGGGGCGGACGCACACCAAGGGCAACTTTACTGAAATTTTTTTTCACTGGCGACCTCCTCCCTCCCCCCCACCCCCCACCCCCCGACGCCAAAAAATTTCGGTCAGTGTACCATTTTAGGGGTCAAAAATTTTTTCCGGACATACAAAATGTTTCCGTGAAGCCAAAATTTTTTCCGGATATCTTAAATTTTCGCCATTTCTTCAAAATATTTTTCTAAATTCCAAAAATTTCCCAAAATTTTTATAAATATAAACTATAAATTACCTGAATCTCGTGATTTTCCTACAAAAAGCATCGTTGGAAATGTGATTTATCACGTATTACCAGCTCAAAGGCGCTTCACCCTTTTGCCCCCAAAATACCCTGCTTTGGTTCGTCCCTGAACCTCGTGAACAAGAATTTTATTGCTGAATGCAGCTAATTTATCTGGTGAAAACCCGCTTAGAATGCTATCAGAACTGAATGAATGAAATTCTGCGCCGACTTCCCTGTTCAAAACTTTAGGTAGGTGCTCCCGGATATCGGTATGCCTAAACACAAGACTCGCAACAGTATTCCAGTTTTTAAGAGAAATATTTTTTATAAGGAAAGAGGTTAGTTTATCGAACAATTTCTTCACAACAACTCTTGAATTTGGATAGCTGATCAAAACACGAACTTGGTTTTCTTTCTCGTTCGGAATAATTGTCTCAATGTTCATTAGATTGTGTACTTCATCGTCCGTTACCCGTTGAACTTGTGCATCAATGTCATGATCGCTATTTCCCTCATCAACAAACAATACTTTCCTTGGAGAATATTTGTTCTTTTCACTCACAACTGCCTTCTCCGCAATAGCCTGCGTAGCAGGCGTTTAGTGCGGGCGGGAGAAGAGAGGGCGTCGTTAAATAAACGGCTGCCCAAATGCCTATGATTAATTTGTTCTTCTCCAAAGAATCTTCGGAAAAGCTTCCCATTGGTCAATCTCGTTATAACGGAAGTAGTTACGTAACTCAAATGTCAACAATAATTTTGCTCGCGTATCGAAAATATGCCGCCTGTTAATGCTTTCGAGGGAACTCTTATATTTCAAGTACTTAGGCTTCGAAATTCAGTTGAAACCAGAATAGAAAAAGTCTATTATTAATTTGCTACGTGGTAAAGACGCCGGTTATCGCGATTCTATGTTCTTCCTACAGAATACGGAAAATCGGCAAATCAAAGTTTGCCCGAGCAGGGATCGAATATTCCTTATAGTTGTCTTGTTATTTGTTCATTTTAAAGTATAATTCAAGACCAGATAGTCGAGGCTACATCACTTGGCATTGCAGCTATGAGGTTGGATGATGATTTTAAGAATAACATTTCAAAAAATGCTCAACTGTTATTTGCAGTTAATTTGCTATGCGGCAGAATGCGTTATACAACCGTGGTTCAGGAGCCTTTTAAAAGATAAAAGCTCTGTGTTGTGACTGTTGTCTAAAATAGCTTCAAAAACTCATTAATAATTCATGAAGCAATTATCCAATCTTGAGTAAGAAATTAGTCACATGCATACGTCTTTATACCACCTAAAGAACACTTTAACAAAAAACATTTTTTTGCAAACTATATAAAGATTTTTCTATAAAGATTTTTCTATAAAGATTTTTCTATAAAGATTTTTATATAAAGATTTGACTTATTATGCAAACGTTTTTGAAGCCCTTTAAAAAACTCGCAGGTCGTGTTTTATTAGGTCTAAAGACACTCGCGCTTCGCGCTCGTGCCTTTAAACCTAATGAAACACTCCTGCTTGTTTTTTAAATAGTACTTCAAAAACTCATTAATAATTCATGAGGAAAAACACAAAGAAAAATCGTAAACGTGTAGCTTTATATGTTATAGAGATTTCCCTTGATTTACATAAACTTTAACTTTGATATTCTCTACATACACAAATAATATTTTGAAAGCTATTTCGCCAATGAACTTTTTGTACTAGATCGATCGTTTTTGAAGCAAATTAAAACATTCGCATAGCGTGTTTTATCAGACCATCTTTATATCTGATAAAACAATGCTGCTCATATTTTAAATAGTACATAAAATCTCTGCACATCTCCCTAGTTGCGAGGAAAAAGCATGCATGATGCTAAATATATATAAATTCGACTATGATTGGATAATGGGTGAGGTGCTAATTACAAAACGTCAATCATCCTTAATGGGCGAAAACAAATTTTTCATAGTCATTTGGGCAGGCGTTTCCTCATTCACGCCCGCGTACTAAACGCCTGCTGCGTAGGCTATCTCCGCAACTGATTGCTTTACAGTGCAACTTGTTCGGCCTTGTCGGTGACATTGTCATTCACGCGTCACTGCTGTAGGAAGCTGTCGCTTTTGACGCCCAGGACTTCAATTTTTAGTACATTCAGATTCTGAATTATCCAACTTATCTTTCAAGAAAGTGAAGTTTTCGTGGACATTCCTTATTTTTCATCCAAAAGGGCGGCATATTCTTTTCGAAAGAAGCGGAGATTTTTGTACTGGCAAGCCGACAATTTCGCACGCTTGTGAAAGTATTAAACCTTTACTCTCTTTTCTTCCCGACGTCTTGAAAATATTCTCGAAAGAAACTGTACCCGACTCAAATTCAACCTTTAAATTACATTTACATATTCTGCATAAATGATTCACAGAGCTACTCGTATTACGCTTCGCTGGCTTTTTCGGTGTATTGTTGTCCGCCATTTATTTGCATATAATTTACATATGTAAATAAATTAAATAAAATTCTCACTTCCGCTATGATCTTATTGGATAATGATAATATATGGGCGTGTAGTGGGCGGAATGAAAAATACCAGGGCATTACGGCAGGCTCTCCCTCTCGCGCCCCCCTAAAAATTTTGTTCCATATTTCATCGCCTCCCCCAAACCCAGAGAGCCTGCAACGCAGGCTAATGTATGTGGAAACATGCTGCATTGTAGTATAAATGTAGTATAAGCAAAATACAAAACTAGAAAATACATGCATGCAGAAACCTTGGCCTTATTGACAAAACCATCATGTTTTCCGAACATGGAGTATTGAAAGTAGTTGTCATGGTAACACGATAATTTTATTAAGAATTATAATTTTAAAATTGAAAAATATCCCAAAAATATCACTTTTAATTACAAAATGGTCAATTTCCCAAACGTATATATGCTACGTATATTATGATACGTAATATAAGCTTCAATTTAATATAAAATTCAAAGACAAACACTTCCGTAAATGTTTTAAAATGTGATTAAAATTAAACTGCCTTTTCAATATCGGTAAACATTCAATTTGAAATAAACTGATTTCAAATTCTCGCGTGAATATAACTTTGCCTTCCTCTTTATTTAAATACTTGAATATAACAAAAAAGGGTAATTAATAAAAATACACTGAAATTATATGCTGTCTTTTTTACTTATATACGCAACGATCGTATCAGTTTTTAAAGCAATTATAAAGCAAACAATACCTTTAGACGTTTTGGTGCTTTTCTTTCTCAAAAAGGTTTTGAAATTTACAATAATTTGCAAGAACACAATATATATGCAAGAAATATTTTTTATTTTGCTGTCGTGATGCAGTCGTTATAATTAATGCAAATTTCAAATATGACCAATCAGTGTTCGCTATTCACGACAGTCCGCTACATATTTTGAGATCAGTGAGGATGAGCACCAATGAACGGTCAACCATAGCCATGTGTCCGCGATATTTGATGAACTTTAGATTTCACTAGTTCGTTCTTTCCCCAGGTGTAAATAGCCGGGCGGAAATAGTGCCTCGCCCCGGGCTTACGCTTCGCGCCGTTGATGTTTAATTACATATTGTAACACATAAATCGCAATCCATAAAATTAAAATTTTTTCCTTAAATCGCCTTAATTTAAATCGCCCTAAAACGCCCAAACTCGCAGTGCTTAAAAGTTTCTGTTTTTGATTAATTAAATCGGTTAAACTTTCATTATCTCGCGGCGAGTACAGGCGAGTTACTGCCTCAGAGTAGGCTTCCACTCATGTAAGTTTCCCGATTATAAGAGTAGCAGTAGCTGTCCTTACAAAAATGATTTATGCATGCTATGATAATTTACAACTTACACTTACCATCCCATGATTCAGCAGCATATCCTCCAAATATTAAATTTCTGTTATTCGTGACCACTTTTATTAAGGTCAAAGTCGGTTTTTTCCTGTCACATCTAGAGTGGAAACTTTTGACATCAAAACCATCTCTTGTTGCTCGCCAGCAAACACTCCAGTTTCCTCGACCTTGTTGTGGCAACCATCCACTCAAATTCTGGCGAAAACTCAGTGGCTCGTTTGCCAGTATATCTATATGAAATTTCCAAAATACGAAGTTGAGATGATTTAGATTTCGTTCGAAAGCTATTATGATATATGCATCATTTAACTTCTCTCTAAGTATTGCATTTTCAATTTTTATTTTAAAATGGCTTTCGTAAATTGTTGTAACGACGTCACGTTTTATATTCTTTTATAATTGTTTCATTTTGAAAAAGAAGTATCTGGCACAAAATTTTCTAGCCAAATAAAATTGCAAGAAAATTATTTCTATTAGTAGATTTATGAACCATTTTGTTGCGACACATGTTGACGTACACATTTACGACATACAACTTCGTAATTTTGGTAATTTCAAAGACTTGATGAAGATTGATGAATTTAGACGGTTTGCAAAATTCGTGACATGAAAATTGCTGGTAGACACGCTTTTTTAGTGTCATCTATCATCTCAATGCTCCACGATAATACTACACGAGCTTATCAATACGGCCTGTGGAGAAGTAAGTATACAAGTCGCAATTTCTGCTTTGGCTCGATTGAGGTTGCAAATGTTTGCTCGAAATTTTGTGGTAGTATTAATGTTTACATGATTTCTTAACAGAAAATTGATGGATTCGAATCTATATAGTTTGATGTATACCTGAACATGTTTTCTCTTTCCCAAAATAACCATCGAGACATATACACTTGTACGAAGTTCCATTAACGCATTTTTCCTTGGAGTTACATGGTTGATGTGCACAATGGTCAACTAGGCAACAGAAGATGAAAGTAAGAACTTACTCACAGGGCCGCCGAGAGGTTGGCAAATTTTTTTTAGGGGCCCCTATCCAAAAAATTTTTTCCCGGAAAAATTTTTTTCCGGAGAACAACCTCTCCCCCCCCCGTCGCCAAAAAATTTTCGGTCTGTGTACCATTTTAGGGGTCTAAAATTTTTTCCGGAGTACAAAATTTTTCCGGACGAGTGCGTTGCAAATGGTTTCGAGGGACTTTATCTCATTTTTTTATGCCAAAATTCGGTACTTAGCCCAAGAAAACAGATCTCTTGTCCTTTGCGCGGAAATATTTAACACACAAAAAAGGCTGGGGCCCAACAAAAAATTTTCAGGGGCCCCCAGCAACTCGGGGCCCGGGGCAATTTCCCCCCCCTGCCCCCCCTCTCTGCGGCCCTGCTTACTCATTTGCATATCACGTTACAAATGGCGTCAACTGTAAATAGTAAATCGTATTATTTCGGGGACAAACAGGTCCCCCGCTACAAAATATTGTCCAGGGTCATAATTTATTCTGTTCACATATGCGACGTTAATTTACCATGGTTCATGTGCACTTCAAAGGTAATAATGTGGCTACCTAGGGTTTTATCTGCGGAGTGATAGAGAGAGAGAGCCAAGAGATGGCTGCGTATGAAGAACTGCAGTTTTTATTTTACTAAACTTTTACTAACATTAAAAATTTCCGGCCGCTTGTCACGGCCTTCCTATCTTCCTATATATATGTGTATATGTATAATATATATATATATATATATATATATATATATATATATATATATATATATATATATATATATATATTTATATATAAAAATATATATATATATATATATATATATATATATATATATATATATATATATATATAAAATTTATATGTATATATATATATATCTATATGTATATATATATATATATAT